GGAATTCATCATTTCTTTTAAAGTCCTATTTTTCCTTTCAGCAATTCCATTTTGCTGAGGTGAGTAAGAAGCAGTGGTTTGATGAATAATTCCATGTTCTTTACAAAATTCACCAAAAGGTGATTCATATTCACCATCTCTATCACTTCTAAGTTTTTTGATTTTCTTACCAAGTTGATTTTCAACTTTATTCTTATATTGAATGAAAGTTTCCAAAGTTTCATCCTTAGTTCGAATTAAATAAACATAACTATATCTAGTTTAGTCATCTATAAAAGTGATAACATACTTTTTTCCACCTCTGGTTTGAATTGATTTAAAATCACAAATGTCACTATAAATTAATTCATGTGGTTCCGTACTTCTTTCAATTGAATGAAAAGGAGTTTTAGATAATTTTGCCTCAACACAAATTTCACATTTATGATTTGAATCAATGTCAAATTTAGGTAAACACTCCATATTAATTAATCTATGTAAAGATTCATAATTAACATGTCCTAGTCTACCATGCCATAAATTTGAAGACTCAAGCAAGTAAGAAGAAGATGTATTATTATTAATAACTGAGGATACAACGGTCATTACATTTAACTTGAAAAGGCCATCAGACATGTAATATTTTCCTACATACATCCTGTTTTTGGTAAGTACAAACTTGTCACTTTCAAAAACTAGCCTAAACCCATTCTTACTCAACAAAGATTCGGAAACAAGATTCTTGTGAATGTTCGGTACATGCAACACATTGTTGAGAGTGAGTTCCTTTCCAGATGTCATCTTAAGTATAATCTTTCCTTGTCTTTCAACTTTGAAAGTTGAGGAGTTACCCATAAAAGTTGCTCACCATTGTCCACTGTAGAATAAGATGTGAACATCTTTTTGTCGGCACAGATATGGCGAGTAGCACCAGTGTCTACCTATCATTCGTTAGGATTTCCGACAAGATTTGCCTCGGAAACAACTGCAGAAAGATTTATGACATCTACATCATTGGAAATTTTATCCATTTCGGTCATTTTGGCTTTAGCAACCTTCTTACTTGATCTTCCTTTGTCTTTGCAAAGATCAGTTCTTAAGAACTTCTCTGGTTTTTCACCATGATTCACTGGCACAGTCCCGACATAAGGAAAGGTTGGCGTAATGGCAATCACCATACCAGTACTGGTTTGAACATTAGTTTGACCAGTTTTAGTAGTCATAAATTCTAAATTATAAAATAAAATTATAATTAGAATTTTATAGTACACAGAAAATTTAAACCAAAAAACACAGAATTTTAAATTTTGTAAAAATAAAAGAAACAAGAATTGTAACTTTTATTTCCAAATAATTTGAAAATAAAATAAATTTTTATTTAAACAAATTAAACCAAAACTACAGAAATAAATTCTGTTAAAATAAAATAACAAAACAAAATGTAACTTTTATTTTCAATTAATTTGGAAATAAAATAAAATAAAATTTTATTCAACCAAAATAATTTCACACAGAAAACTAATCCAAATTCACAGAATTAAATTCTGTAAAAATAAAAGAAACAAAAATGTAACTTTTATTTTCCAATTAATTTGAAAATAAAATAAAATTTTATTTAACCAAATTAATTCCACACAGAAAATTAAATTTTTGTAACACTTTAATAATTAAAATACTGAAACAGAATTTTAATTAATGAAAACTCTGAAAATAATTTCTAAAAACCAAAATTAATTTTCTGACAAAATTCTACAAAAATATATTCTAAATTGTTAATGACACCAGTATGGTGCTATTAGTTGTCAAAGAAAATAGACAGTATATTACTACTATCTGTCAAATAGCATATAATCACTATTTGTTTTTCCAACCAGAATATTATTTTATAAATCCACAGAAAATAGTTTTCTTAAAAGAAGAAAGAGAAAAGGAAACAAAACAAAAAATTCTGTAAACAAAATAATTCGAATCTGTCTTAAAATTGTTGGAACAATCTTCTGTGTAAATAAAATAAATTCAAAACAAAGTCAAACAAATAAATAAATAACGTACCAAATTTATTTATCGAACTGAATTAAAAATTCATAAACCAAGTCGAGTGTGTGACACTCTGTCCTTAAGACAGATTCGCCCCGCTACGGTGCTTACGATTGAGTGGCGTCTATCTTCCAAGATACAATGATCTTCACAAATTTGTAGAAGCACTTCAAACAAATTTGTCCGGCGAACCAAACCTGTGTTCTAACTCTTTGAAATTTATTCTAAAACTAAAATGTAGAATAATGCAAAACAAAACAAAGTTGGACAGCAAAAGATGGGATTTTCAAACTGATATTCGGTGCCCAAGACTGCTGGCAATGGTCTGAACTTATAGGCAATCAATTCTGTCCCAACAGGTATGTAAACCGCCAAACAGATATGACACTATTTTAGAACAGATTGAAAATGAAAACTGGACAGATCTTGAATCTGTCCGAATTTCAACAGATCTCTGGACAGATTTGTGGATGTATTATTATCAACCACAATCTGTAGGAACAAGTCTCCAATATATAGACCCGAACAGGTACACAAAAGAAGTGAACAGGTGCAATTTGTATTGAACAGATGTCCAAACCATAGCAGTTATCTAACTGCCCAGAACTGCTGTATCCCACTGTTTGAATCTGCCTGGGCAGATTTAATAGTGAATCTGTCCGAATAATATAACAGATTGGCAGTTAAAAAACCTGTTCGAAATCTATAGTGGAATATGGAAGAGGCACAAATTTTGGACAAACAATTTGAATTCAAATTTAAATTAAATTTTCGCAAAAAAAATTGGAAAAGATTCAAATAAATTTTGTCCAAAAAATTAATATAAGAGCCGACCCGACCCATAACCGCGCCCGGCATGGCTCGACCGGACGGACGGCGGCAGCGCGCGCGTGTGTGGTGGTCTGGGCTAAGGTTCACATTTTCCATAACTCCTCCATTCTACAAACTTGGGGTGCCCCTTGGGGCCCAACCCAAGCGTTGTAGGCTAGAACTTATATACACAAATAAACTCTCTCAAAGTTTCAATGTGGGACAACCCTTTCCAAAGATACCCACATTTACTCCCTTAAATTTCCTATTTCACGAACCCAAAAACGACGTCATGTTCCCATTCACTCATAAATAGTTTTGACGAACCGTCTTCACCGTGTGACTTGCCACGTGGCAAGGAACACTTCACCTCTTTTGACCCACCCCAAAAGACGTTCGAGGCCCACTAAATTTTGGGCTCAAAGTCGGCCCAAAATATGCCTATATTAATCATTTTTCCAACAGTTCTCACAAATAAATATAAGTTATCTCACAAAATCGCTTAAATTCTTACAAATATACATTAGTTGTGATTTTTTAAATTTGTATAAGTTACCTTACGTATCTTTGTAAAAACTTACACAATTTATAAAGTAACTTATATATTCATAAGAATTTATACAAATATATATATAATATGTACTTGAACATTAAAAATTATCCTTTTACGTAAAAGATCTTAGGTTGGGTAGCTTTTGGTATATAAATATATATATATATATATATTTCCATTTTATCCTTATTTTTTAAAAATAAATATGTAGTATTGCAGGATAGTGAACACTACACTTCTTAGGACATCTTCAACGTTTAATCAAATCTATCACCAAATTTAAATTTGATGAAAAAGTACATTTTTTTGGTCTTCAATAATTTCATCAAACCTATATCAAATTGAGAATATCTCAAATCTTTCACCAAATTGAGGACTTAGTCAGTTTTCAGCAGTTTATTGTGCATGAACGTTGGGAGTGAGATCCACCGGATAACCGGCGAGTTGTTCACCCGGTCATCCAGTTAACTGCACAATTCAAAGAACACAGCCAGCGCCTAGTGACCGAATCAACTAATTGTCATAAATCTCTCTTTCTCTTTCTTTCTAGAATTCTGTAGGTATATACCACCACTTTTTGTACTTGTGCTCTCTCTCTCTCTCTCTCTCTCTCTCTCTCTCACACATCATAGATTTACACTCTCTCAATGTGCCGTTTTGTTTTACTAAAACTTTATTGTATGAATTCGATCCATCCAGCCTGGTTTTGGGTATTCCGGCGGATCCAAAAGCAATTTTTTGACGAACCCAGATAGATAGATGGATGATGGAGAAAGACCCACTTCTTCCTTATATCAGCCCTAGACGTCCACAACCATCAGCAGCAGCACCACCATCACTTTGTACCCTCCATGAAGACGATGAAATCACCATTCCTGTGCCTTTTACCCCTTTAGAACTCGAGGACCACCTCATCTTTGGCCCATCCTTCCCATCCTCCTCCTTTTTCATTGACCAATCTTGAACAACAAGAAGTCTTGTTAATGCCTTAACAACAAGATTTAATGGAGAGAAAAAGAAATGGCAAAAGAATTAAGGGAAACAAAAATGGAAGGGAAACAAAAATGGAGGGGGAAAAAAAAAATTTCATTTTGTTCTTGTCGGGAAACTGGTCGGTCGTCCTCCCAGATATTCTGTGTTTTTATGAAAGATACAGTAGTTCACCGTTGGAGTGACTGATATCAGATAAAAGAATTGGTCATATTTTTACTCAAATCTAATAAAATTTTTGATAAATCATTGGAGATGCCTTTATAGACCAGTTTCAAAAGAAATCGCGACATGTCTCCCAACATATCCACGTCGGTTACATTTAACGATTATGATAATTACAATATTACCCCGTGACTGTTGTCATCATCCCATGTTTGTTTGCACACCCTTGTTTGGCTTAAAATAATCATAAAAAATAAAATAAGGCATAAGATTAATAAAATAAAATATTACATACAAATTATAATTATTTATTTTTTACCTCATAAAAATAAAAAAAGACAAAAAAATCTATTCAAAATGAAAATTTTTACCCTCAAATTAAAATAATTAAAAAATCAAAAAAACCAAAAACCAAACTCACATTCCAAACGAATCATGTTTCTTGTTACACAAATTTACGAAAGACAGCACGCACCAAATTATTTTCTCCTAAACAACTTTGCATTTTTTTTTTTTTTTTTTTCGGTTTAAATTTTTTCAGAATCTATACGAAATTGGAACTCCACAGTGATCACAAGCAATCTCTAATAATCTGAAAATTAAAAAATGGGGTTGTTCAAATTCTACAATCTCAATCCCATTTACAGAAGCTACATATCAAGATTTCACACTCGCAATCACAAGAATCGTATAATTCAAGCATTCGGTTCTTCTGAATTCTACGATCACCGTCCATTGGGGAGACTCTCAGAAAGCCCTAATTACAGGATTTCGAAGAGATGGCACGTAGGTCATTCTCACCATCACCACCAACATGATCGCTCTAGCGAGGAAGCCGAGAAGATATTCTGGTTGGGACTCGCCGCCGACATTGGCTTGGCCGCTGGAAAGTCATTGACCGGTTATCTTTCCGGCAGCACCGCTATTATTGCCGACGCCGCCCATTCTATCTCCGATGTGGTAACACTCCAAAATTCCCCTCATAATCTGCTTAACAGTTATATATCAAGCCATTTTAATTTTTCAGCTCATATCAATTACGTATATGTTTTTTCATGAGCATGGATACGGATATAATTTTTTCCTACTGATCTCCAGTATAGTTATTTATAGGGTAAATTGCATTTTAATTTGAACAATTTAGACATTATGTTTTCAATTCTGTTGTAACGTGCTTGTTAACATTTTGAAATGGAAAAAATTAGGACCCAAGTGAAATTCAAAACAAATTATAGGGACTAAGTGTTTTTTTCATTCAAAAGAAAAAAGAAAAATAAAAAATGTAGGGACTAAATTGTTTAAATTGAAATTACGGGACTAAAGTGACACTTCACTTGAACTGCAGAGAGGTGTTATTTACCCTTATTCATATATATTTTATTTATTTTACTTATAAAAAAGTTATAATGGAGATCACTAAATGTATACAGAACCGTATTATTATTAATTAATTTTCTTATTAGGCTTATATTTTGCTCTATTTAGTGTTTATATTCAATACATTGTCAATGTGTACCTAGGGTAAATTATACAAATAGTCCTTAGAGTGTGTATCACTTATTTTATCTTGGTCTGTAATTTTTAATTTGTATCAATTATAATCCTAAACTTTGCACATTAATTCAATGTTGTTCCGTTCTCACCAGGCATTAAAATATGTCAAATTCTATCAAACTGAAGAGCCAAACACACTATATATTTGGTTCTACTCCATTTTAGGGTTTTAATGTAGCAAATTGCAAGAAGAAATTGGAGTTTTTATGGAATTTAAGGATTGACTCGCGGTTCATTTAGGCAAAAAATGAGATAAATTTATTTCAATGCCTTTTAAATGCTAATGTGAGGATGATGTAAATGTCTATTCTATCAACAACATTTAGGGGATGAGACTACATTAGATAAATATGTGAAGTTTAAGGATACAATTGATACAAATTAATGATTAGAGTCCAAAATAAATTAAGTGTATACTTTACCCATCTATAAATGAATTGAGAATAATCTATTTTTTTGCATTTCTTTGGAAGGGTTATTAATGCTTTAGGCCT